ACTATGTTGAATAAAAGTGGGGAGAGTGGGCATCCCTGTCTTGTTTCTGATCTTAGAGGAAAAGCTTTCAGCTTCTTGCTGTTATGTATGATGTTGGCTGTGGGTTTGTCATATGTGGCCTTTATCATGTTGAGGCACTTGCCCTCTATACCCATTTTGTTGAGAGTTTTTATCATGTATGGATGTTGAGTTTTGTCGAATGCTTTTTCAGCATCTATGGAGATGATCATGTGGTTTTTGTCCTTCTTTTTGTTGATGTGGTGGATGATGTCAGTGGATTTTTCGATTGTTGTACCATCCTTGCATTCCTGGGATGAATCCCACTTCATCATGGTATATGATCCTCTTGATGTATTTTTGAATTTGGTTTGCTAATATTTTGTTGAGTATTTTTGCATCTATGTTCATCAGGGATACTAGTCTCTAGTTTTCTTTTTTTGTGGTGTTTTTGCCTGGTTTTGGTATTAGAGTGATGCTGGCTTCATAGAATGAGTTTGGAAGTATTCCCTCCTCTTCTATTTTTTGGAAAACTTTAAGGAGAATGGTTATTAGGTCTTCTCTAAATGTCTCATAAAATTCATCAGTGAATCCATCTGGTCTGGGAGTTTTGTTCTAGGGTAGTTTTTTGATTATCTATTCATTTTCATTGCTGACAATTGGTCTGTTTAGATTTTCTGTTTCTTCTTTGGTCAGTCTTGGAAGGGTTTATTTTTCTGGAAAGTTGTCCATTTCTTCTAGGTTATCCAGCATTTATAGACAATTTAAGGGATAATATACCTGACCCAGTTCAAATGTTTCATTGATGTAAATAAGTTCTGAACAATTGCTTTAGTTTGATAATTATACAGGATAGCTTCAAATTTGCATTTGTATGACTTATACTTTACTAGTTCCTCAATTCAGGAAGATGTCATTTCAGAGAACCTCCAGGTGGGCAGTCTGCCCAGCCACCTGCTAGGTCTGCTATGTGCACCCTGTCCAGGGCATGTGCACACTAGGGACTGGGTCTCCTGGCAGTTGCTGTGTCTCTGGCCCCAGAGTCAGGTTACTGCACTTAAATGGCAGATCAGAAATGGGCAGTGACCGCAGAACCACAGTCCAGAGAAGGACAAAGTGTGGCCTTGGGCGGCAGGAGACTCCGGAGGAAGCCAGATGCAGGGCAGAACCTCGGAATTCTCCACGGAGTGGGTGCTCCTTCAGGAACAGGGCAAATGAAGTCATTCAGCCATATTCCCTAGTTTATGAGAAGGTGAAACACCTTGGTAGTTCTATGGGACATATTAGAAAATCTTGACAGATAGCCTGTGGAAGATGTGCTGGTGGAAGTGCCTTAATTCTGGGAGCATTTGAACACATCTAGAATTGATCCTGAAATGGCAATGTGGATAACATCACAATTTCTGGAATTTATTGTTAAATGGGATATTTATGAATCTTGACCAAAATTATCTTAATGCTTAAGACATTTCCTATGTCCTTGTATACCTGTTGCTTCATCCAAAGAAAAAAAAAAGAAAGAAAAAGAAAAAAAAACAAATTAAAATAACTGAAATGTGCTTTCCTGATGCCTGTGGGAAGATTGGCAGCTCCAGGCTTCACATCCAGGACATGTAATTATATGAGAGGGTCAGGATGTACATGCAGAAGACACTGAGTCATTTGTGAAAGTCGAGCCTTAAAAACAGAGCCTTCAGTGTAGCTACTTATTACTGTGACAGGATGATATTTAATACACATTCTAACCTTTTTTCAAAAATGTGTCAAAACGATTAAATATTTATTATATTATATTTTTCTTTTATGTCCTTAATTTCAATTTAGTGGCATCATTATATATACAAAGTTCAGTGAAAGAAAGTTTTCCCTGGCTGCATCTCCTTTCTGGACATTATTATTATTTGGTTTATTTCCTGTTATGGAAAATAAATCTATTTTTAATAGAGGGGTGTGTTCTTCAAATAAACACAGTTTGCCATTGGTGCAAAGGCGTTACAATATATTATACTGATTCTGCAAGTCATAAATAGTTTAATAAATAAACATATTTAAAAAATATAAGTGAGAGGAAAGCAGTTTTTTAGGGAAGTTTGTTGTTAAGCTGAACAGAGAAAGTGGAATTCAGCTATACTTATATATGATCCAGGCATATATATTTGAAAATATTCACATATATAAAATACATACATACATTTGATAGATGGATACATTATATTACATAGCTAGAGTTTTAAAGATAGCTACAAACTGAAGCAATAATTATTCATTAAAATTTTTTAGATATTTAAAGAGTAAGATAATTGGTAAATATATCATTGAAAGAAACCTTCTATATTAACTTCATGTTTCACTTCTTTTTCTGAAAGTCCTGTTAGGAATGTCATGCTGTAAATTATTATACTCTTACTGTAGTCTATTTTACAGTATTGAAAAGAAAAAGTATACTATAGATATACATTTTATGGTGTCAAAATGTTCACAATACACAAATTCCAATGGCTTTGAAACTACGTGATTTTGTAACCTTGGAAGATTAGGGTTATTTTTAAATTTGCACATAAATTAAAATTTAAAAAATGTATTGCTGTCTTACCATTTCAAAGTGGGTTAATCTGAATTACATACCCTACAACTGCACTGTGATTTCAAAATTCCTTTGAGTCACCTATTTTTACACGCCTGCTGACTTGGATTAGTGACAAGACATAAAAACAGCCCCAAGAGAGTCGGGTGGCGGCGATCAATGTGTTATGTGTCTGCTGTGCTGACATAACCTCCCTGCGAGCGGCTGAACTCCTGAACCGCACCCTCTGCTTCCTGCTCACGACCCACCTGCTCCCGGCACCAGGCGCTCGGGGCCTCAGGTGCTGGTGACCTTCAGGAGTTGCACAATGCTTAACACTGTCCTCCTTGTGTCGCCCTGCAGGTGACTGTCGGAAGGACTGTTTGGCTGCGCTGCGGTGGGCCCGCCCGAGAGCCCCAGGGCAGCTCTGAGTTCATGCACTTGGCATTACTGAGCAAGAGCGGGAACCCAGGGAGATGAGCAGCTACTATGTGATTTCAAAAAGGAACAGACCTGTGCTGCCAAATGCGATCATGGCCTCACTTCTTCCTACGCGACACCATGAAAACACGGCCCGTTTGCCACAGCGGAGGCACAGAGCCTGGTTGGACCACTTGTTTGGTACAGAATACTTTGATTTAAAATAACTCCACTTGTTTAACTTTTCAAGTGTTTGCTTGTTTAGCATATTTATTGACTGTCCACAGCCTGGAAGGAACTTTGAAAGGTACTTACATAAAAAAATATGCTTCATGTTACTTGGATTGATCAGAACTCCCAGAGTCAGGTTTTAAAGATAAATGTGGTTGTAGGAGTCACGGCCTTGTATACAGTTATTAATGGGGTCACCCAATATGATTTTTGCGGTTAGTTTAAGGTAGCTTTTATCATAAATGGGTGTAAGATTGTAAATGTTAATGTAAAGATCAAATAAATCTTTTCACTTGCCTGAGTGTTGTAACACAACACAGTGCTTAGCTTCCTACTACCGAGCCTCCTGCTAGAGAAATCCATGTTGGGCCTGGAAGGTGACTCAAAGTGTAGGAATTTTGGGTCTGTGTTTGATGGCAGGGTTCATCACAGAGTCCTTCTGTGAAGTGTCTTTGACAGGCTCTTGTCAAGCTATGCCAGCACTATTGTGACAGAGTTCTCAACCCTGTAGCAGACTTGGGAACATTTACACAGATCATGATGTGGTAGGTCTTGAAATCCTGAAAGAATTCATGGGCATAGCATTCTGATTTAATCTTCACCATTGCAGGTTGTTCATTCTTTTAAATTTGTCTATATTGGATATTTACACATAATCAGGTTTTAAAAACTTTAAATGAATTTTGTCCAACTGTATTTTTTCACAGTTGCCCATTTTATTGGTATTTTCACTGTCACTGGTATTTGGCTACATCTCCAATGTGGTAGCCACCCCCAAACCTGTCGGCCCTTTAGCATCGCCTGGCTCAGCTCTTACAGAGACAGAGCACCTCCCCGGCTGGTGGTCGGAGGGCTTCTCCTCTGCCCTGGTGCCTGTGGCCAGTCGCGTCTGATACTCCACGGCCACGGGCCAACCACGATTCTGAGCATTCCTGTTTCCTCCCTTGCGAATTACGAGGTCACACCCTTTGCCCTTTTTCAATTATGTTTTTTCTTTTGATTTGCAGAATATCTTTATATATTATAGATATTAATATTCTATTTATGATGTTTTTAGCAAAGTCTATTTAGCAGGATTGTAAGAAGTAATCTATATTAAGGTGATCAATAATAAAATACTTTCAAGTAGCATTCATAACGTAAGGCAGTGTCTGAGTAATCTGGTATGAGTGTCAGAGTCAATACAACCCATTGTTCTGCTCTTTACCACTGTGAAAACATAACACGCAGAACCCTTTGGAAGCCTTTCAATAGAACAGTCAGGTCACTCTGCAAACGCACATGTGAAAACAGGCTCGGCTCGTGAGTTTGGTTGCACTGAGCCCTGTGAATGAAGGCTTGTAAAAGGCTTTTTAAAAATTGAAGTATAGTTGACATACAATATTATATTGGTTTCAGGTGTACAACATTATTATGTACATTAGGAAATGCTCACCACCGTTCAGAGTAGTTGACCAGCTCTCCCCTTACAAAGATGTTACAATATTATTGACTATATATATATTTTTGGTATATCATTAATCTACAATTACATGAGGAACATTATGTTTACTAGACTCCCCCCATCAACAAGTTCCCCCCCCACATACCCCATTGCAGTCACTGTGCATCAGCGTAGTAAGATGCTGTAGAATCAGTACCTGTCCTCTCCGTGTTGC